TGTTTTTCCTTCCAAATCTCAGCCAAACTCTTCTATAAATAAGATGTTTCACAACACATATGAGGGTGGCTTTTTAGTGGCTGGAGAGAAATTTGTTAGCAAGGCAAATAAAGGAGAGAACATTTGAAACATTCTTAAACCCAGAATCAAAAAACACAACACATTTGTTTCTTTCTTTCGAATCCAGAACCAAAGAAACACAACACTTCTTTTATTTCTTTCAAATCCAGAACCAAAGAAACACAATACCCCTGTTGCTTTGCTTTCGAATTCAAGAATATCAAGGGCATTAACTCAAAGTTCAAAAAACCAACTCCAGGTTCAAGGTAAGTCTTCCCGACCTTAAACTTTTTTGTTTCAAACGTCATTGATAACTTTTTGTTTGTTTTCGTTTCTATCTTTTTGTTTGTTTTCCTTTATTGTCAAGAACTAACCTGTATAAACCATAAAACAATGTTGGAGTAAAAAATAACATCATGGTTTGACACAAAGCCTTAGCCTTCGAACACACTGTTTCACAGTCCCAAATGAAAGAAAAAGGTTGTGTGAATCGAAGCCTTAGGCTTCGCCCCATACTGCTATCAACCCTAAATGAAAGAAAGAAAGAAAAAAAGGTGTGTGAATCGAAGGATGCAGGCTTCGATACGCACTGGTTGCAGGCCCAAACGAAAGAAAACAAAAGGGGTGTGAATCGAAGGACACATGCTTCGATCCAGGATTTCTTTTCTTTCTCTCTTTTGCACTATTTTTATTTTTATATTTTTCTATATATTTTCTTTCATTGCTATTCAATATGGTTGTAATAATTATGTTTTTTATTGCTTTCCATCCCCCATTTGTACATTTGTATCCCCCATCCCCTAAAGTGATGTAATAGCTTAGGACTTTACATTTCCACAATTTACCGTTTTAATATAAATTATTAGTAATTAGGGTGTGTATGGCAAGATAAAATCAACCGTTAGAAAACCTTAATATCAAGACAAAAATGCATGCAATCAAACACATTATTCACACATACACCTATAGGGTAATCTCATTTGTTTCCTCGAAAATTAGTCACGTCCCTCGAATATGGGCGTTTTAGCAAAGACTCTCGATAAAAAGATCGTAGTCCCTCGATGTTCCTCAATGTTGCCTTTGATAAACGATCTAGTCCCTTACGAAAATTACTAAAACGTCTCATAAGTTGCCTTCTATGACTATACAATTGACCCACGCTTGTCCCTTCATATCCAACGACGGGGCTTCTTACCAAATCAATGGTAAGATAGAAACATCTAAAGGAGGAGGAAAAGAACATATACCTTTTGAGTAGGTATGACGCTCGTAGTTGCTTGCTCTTAAACTAAAACCATTTCCACACTTACACTTTCAAAACATCTTTAAAAAAAAATATCTCTTTGAACTATTTTCAACAAGTTCAACACTTTGTATGCATTCTTATAGAGACGAGAATCATTACAAAGTTTGCCTCAACGAAGGCGCTTTTCAAAAATACTTTCAAAATCCACCACAAAGCAGATTTTCAAACAAAGCATTTTCAAGTAATCTAGCAAGCAACTAAGAGCCCGTAGATAACTATGGATGAAAAGGGTGTTAACACCTTTCCTTTTCATAACTTACTCCCCTAATTCAAGAAAACATCCCAAAGGTCTTTCCTATTCTTTTCACCCTTTCTTAATTGGATAAAAGAAAAGTCGGTGGCGACTCTTGCTATCCGCAATAATTGAAATCAAATGCAAAACAACCAAATCAGTTCTTCCATCGTATTACATGGTATGTTAGAACTTTGTCTTGTAAGAGGCTTTGCAATAAGAAAAAAGAGTATTTAGACCTTGCAGAATGGGCCTAGTGCGTGTTTACTACAACATACCCCTGGATTGGATTCAACACTACACCCCAAGTCCGTTATTATTTTTGACACACTTGAAAGCTTGCAACAAAAAAAGGTTTGTGGACTCTATCCTGATGGGCCCAGCGCCCATAATACTTCATCACACTCCTGGATTCAGTTTGCACCCCCTGGACTTGTTTTTTTTACTATTTGCAATTTCTTTTGAATAATTTGGTTAATTGTTTGGATCTGTTTGAATTTTATTCACATGATAAAAATAATAAAATCAAATATAAAAATTGGTTAGATTTTTTAATTTGATTTTGGGAATTAAATCGTGATTATTCGATTACTTGAGATTTATAATTCACCTTTTCTTGTTGAGATTTGAGTTTTAAACAGGTTTATCGTGTGATATGCGGATGTGCTTGAGATTCCGATTATGACTTATTTTCACATCAATGATATTTCAACGCTTACTCCGAGCATTTGATTTCTGACTCTTTTCTTTGATTGGCGAAGCTTTCGCGAAGATCGTCAGATTTCTTTGTTTTGATACGCTTTTCTACGGATTAATATTCGTTTGGAATTTTCCCTTGTTTATCTCATTTCAGCATTTATCGCTTTCTAGAAATCATGTGAAGTAAGAAGTAGGAAATAAAGAGTGTGAGCTCGAAGTTGCTATTTAAAGACCTGTAGCAGGCATTCCACATTTTATTTGATATATTGTGCTTGTGTTTGTTTCCTTGGATGTTGATCGATGAGTCACTCAATTTAGAAATTGAGATCACGACTTCGCTCTCAGTGCATGCTCCATATAGGATTTTATTGCTTTCCTTGGTTATTGATCGACGAGTCACTCAATTTAGGAATTGAGATCACGACTTTGCTCTCAGTGCATGCTTCCTATAGAATTTTATCGCTTTCCTTAGTTGTTGATCGATGAGTCACTCAATTTAGGAATTGAGATCATGACTTCGCTCTCATTGCATGTTCCCCATAGGATAGTTTTTGTTGGACTTTCTTTGGCATGCTAGCCTAGATAGGATCTCTCTAAGTATGTTCTCTTGAGCCTTTTAATTGTTGATTTGTTTTTCTACCTTGATCCTCAATATCATGGTTAGGCATTTGACTTGAGTTAGCACGTGCTGCTCATGACATATTGTGTGTGCTCTCTTGAGCTTATTGACTTACTTGTTTGATTTCATCTTTGTGTACATGTTTTGAGATGATATACCCTCAGTATGTTCCCTTGGGAGCTCTTGATTCATCTATAGATGATAATTTGAGATAGACATAGTTTTAGGTGATAGACCCTTACTATGCTCCTTTAGGACTTCTTGATTCATCTATAGATGATGATTTGAGATAGACATTAGGATTGTTATCCAAGCATGATAACATAGGGTAGAGATTTTACTTCAAAACTCAACTTTAGGATCAATCATTGTATGATAACATTAGGGATAGATTTAAGCTAGTCTCTCTTAGATGTTTTTCTTTCTTTTGCATCTTCATATTAAGACTAAAATTCTTTTTCTTGGAAAATCGTAAAACATCTAATAACATTCCAAATCCTTCTTTAAGGTAAACGATATCAACCAATGCAAACTCTTTTGCGCCTTCGGGCTTTTCTTTTAAATTTTTCAGAAAGAACATGTTAATTCACTTTTGTGCTGACGCATGAGCCTCCGAAGGTCGAGTTGCGGCAGAAGGCGAAATTAATATTGTTCATTAAAAAATACAAACCAACAAAAACTTTTGAGCCGAACTACGACTGCTTTGATTCCTTAAAAGGGATACGTAGGCATTGGGGTAGGACCCGAACGAGCACAACTTTTATTTTTCCTACATTATTTTCTCTTTTCTTTTGCATGGATTCTCTGTACAGCTTAGATATAGATTCTTACACACTCTTTGATTAGAACAACAATAGTGGATACCGTAGAGTATTACGAGTGTGAATGGTGCTAATATCTTCTTCTTGCGTAACAGACTCGCTTATTCAATCTCTCGATCGTTTGACTTTGATTTCACCCTTCTTAGGTTTACTCGATGTTTACCTTTCTCTTCCTGTAAAATAAAAAACGTTCGATAACGACTTCATTGATTTCATCTCGATAATACGTTCAACCAATTATTTTATCCTTATACGATGTACAGGTGATTTTCCTTAACACCTTGTATGATTTTTTGTTTTAGTACAAAATAAAACTCAAGATGAACCGTTGTCGAGGTAAATTATACACACATTCGATTAGCATTTATAAATGTATGAGCTACTAGTCTATCTATATACTGAAGAATAAAGGCGCATATGAGCAATGCATTGTTGAGGTAACCATCGATAATTTTAGAGTCATAGAGACATAAAAGAAGATGAAGGGAACTAAAGAACTCAATTAACCACACAAACCTTAGTCACAACCGACTCTTAAGGTATATTGATATTCCATCCAAGAATAATAACTATAAAAAAACCATATGCTATAGAGTTGTTCATGAAGATTTACAAGGTGAACTAAAATGCAAAATCTCAATTTTTTTTATGGTTTAAATTGATTAAATATGATTTTATAATAGGTTTTTCTCAATTAAATCATAATCAAATATAATATTTAATTATATGTCCTGATTAAACTACTGTAACTTAATCTACACAAAACCTAGCTATATTAAATTAAAAGTACCCTACATTAAAATTAAATTACTTTAAAATTAAATTAACATTATGATGGTGCAATTCCGAATATAAAAATTAAAAAATACAATATCTTAGACACATATCTACTATGTTTAACCGTAAATAATGATATATTTAAATGTAAATCCTATATTTATTGTATTTTATTTTTCTTTTATATCCTTCTTTCTACTTTCTTTCCTTTAATCATATAAATGATAAACATGTATCTTAATGAGATTATATATAAATGAATTGAAGTGAAATAATATTTTAATATTATACTTGTACAACTTTATTTTAAAAATAGGTGATAATTCCTGGCCCACCATATCCTCTAAATATCATTAGACTCTCCTACTAAAATTGAAGCCATCCATCCAATAAAGGAAAAATAAGACATATTATAAAAAATTTATAAGTAACATATTTTAGACATGCTTAATACTGTTTTTTAGTGTTGAAACAAGTTGTAATAACATGGAAGAAATTAACGAGTGGCAACAAATCGAACAACACACAACTCTCGAATCATCTGGAGTTTACGATGGTGGTGACCGATCATCTTCTTCTTCTACTCCCACCTATCACGAAGAAGATGGAAGTTCTGTTAGTGATAGGGAGGCTTCGACGCTGTTAGATTGGGCCAATGAAGGGAAGAAGCTGCTGAAGCTGCGGTTCGAGGCTATGAGAGTGAAGATTGTGAGGGTGGCTTCCAAAGTTCGTAATTGTTCAATGTGTGCTGGGGCGTTTTGGTCATTTACTTGTGTGGTCGGAGCTGCGGCGGTGGTGTTGGTATGGTGGATTTATTTCGGGATTCAAAGGCGTCGCCGGAAGGTGGATGGTTTGAATGATCTTCTTAGACAGAAAGATGAGGTGAGTGTATGCCATCCGTGAACAACTTTTGTTAACATGAAAATAACTTATTTTTCCTAAAAATTAAAATTAAAATTTGAAAGGAAATTATTATTTCTATAAAAATTGTTATTTTGACACAAATTTTAGGAAACTATTTTTTCTATAAAAGTTGTTATTTAGACACAAATTTTGAACACGTATTTTGCTATGTCGGGGAACCAGAATGTTCGGTAAAATGATGAGATGATGTCTTGAATTGGAGGAGTAATTTTTCGGTGTAATAAAGAGGAGACTGGTCTATAAGGATAGTATTTCAACACTCTAGTCAGTGAGAGAATAAGAAGTAACATAAGAGTAAGAATAAATTTGAATACTTGAAATGACGTGTTTCACCCATATATATTAAGAGTGGTTGAAAACATTCATGTGTGATGCGGCGCAATGTGCAGAAAGTCATTTGATTAAATTGGATGATGATTGATGCACTGCAAAATGATATCATCTATTTTTGACCAAGCAAAAGCCCATATGTTCTACAATTGTTTCACTAGAGGTTTGCTCTTAGGCCTTTTGCTACGGGCCTTGTGAATGGTCCAGAACAACTGTCCTCCAAATCCTTATTCCTATTTCGTAGAGTGGGGGAGTTGTCTTGTATATCATTAGCTTGGTTTCTCATGTAAATGTCTGAAGGGTCTCGATGTGACATTTATTAGCCTTGGGAACAAAGACATTAAATGTATGTTCCTCAATCAACTGAATTTTGTTGGAAGGTGCTAACGCGTGTCCCAATGACAATAATGATGTACTTTCTGTCTTAGGATATTGAAGTAATATGAACAATTCCCAATGAGAACTTGATTGTTGGTGTTGGGATCCACACCTCCCAATATGGTAGATCATATTGTTCACTATTACTAAAACACATATAAGAGGGTTCATGGACTACCAATCTTCCATTTTTGCTGCTTATGGGTTTGAGTAAATCTTCTTCGTTTGTGATTTCTTCCATTATTGTCATTTTTCTTGCATAGGTCTCCATCCTTGACCAATTTGTGTCCTATCTTTCAGTGCATGAGCTTCTCAAATTTGCTTATTTTAAGGTAATGCCCAAATCTCCCACTCTTTCAATCTTGCTTTCTTTATTGATATTTTTGGAAAAGAAGACCACATGGTTTGGTAGAGGAGATTGTTGTTGATTTAATGGCCTATTTCATGTACATTTTAGCATGAACAATATACTTGGCTTTGAACTTGCTTGTTGTATTTACTTCTTTCATCCACTAACATGAACCCTTATAATGAAACATATTCAACCTAAAGTTTGGAAGACCATTGGGAAGAACTCATCGGTATGGGTAGACAAGGAGACATTGTATATTGCCTCTGCTTTTGTTTGTGAATGTGTCTTAAACCTTGCTTTCACAACAATGGGACCTTCTAAAAATTGAGGGGGGTGATTCTCTCTGAAGAAGATAAGAGGATTTGCAGCAAATACGACAGGTGTGTCGTTCTAATTCATAAGTGTTTATTCTTATTGATAGGATTTTGGCTTCCATTTCAATGATTTCGAGGTCGACATGTTTAATCATTTAATAATCCCCCCTTCACAATTGCATTTGGTGAGCTAAGCCAACATCAAGTTCTTCCAATATTGGTGTGAATATAAGAAGGATGTGTCAACCATTCCACTATTCTTTCATCTCTTTAAAGCTCAATGCATCTTTGCTAATTCAGCGCAAGGTCAAGATCTAATATCTCTCAGGCAGTGCACCAAGATGTTTGAGCTTTACTCAAAGAATGTGAAATACTCCAAAGATTGGGACTTCTTGGTCGCCCCCTTAACGAGGAAGTTCGTTCCAACCTATGTATCATAGAGTTAGAGTCGCCCTATCGATGTTCCGATAAGTTCTCTAGGTTCTTGTGTTAGAGTAATTTTTGGCAGATTCTGGTTCATATGTTTACAAGATGAATAACCTCAAGAGGAAGTCTACCTTAAAAGGAAACTGATTTATTTCTTTGAGGATACAAACTACTTTGATAGCATAGTCCCTTATGATGCAAGGATGGAGAAACAAAAAATTTAGTGCATAAAGAGGCGTTTATTGGTGGATGTCGGCTCGAAGGAGGTTAGGCGGATCATTTTTGGGGTGTAGCATGGGGAATTCCCTTTTTCTTCAATAATCTTTTGGACTTTTCCTTTCTAACATGTCTATTACTGGCTCGTTGGACGTAAGAAGCGGTCTATAATTCTCTTATGAGGATCATGATGAAAGATGCTTTGTGCTCATCGTCACTTCTATAGAGGGAAGCTTGGTCGTGAGTCTTGAGTTTGAGGTGCCTGAGAAGGAACGACTGCTTGTCCGTCAGCGACAAATGCTTGGGCAAGACTTGGGGGAATTTGGATCTACGGGAGGGATTATGCCGACCCTTTCCCTTCATCCTTGTTTGTCCCAGTCCAAAAATAGTTGGGGAGATTCAAGCCTCTATTTCTAAAGACGACTACACATACTTTTCAAACAAAGATGAGGTTGTCTCCCATAAAGAATTAGAATATCTGATTTATTACACTCATTGAGTGTCTGTTGTATATGAGTTTGGTGTTCTAGGGATGAGAGATGTCTTCTCACTCGATCGTCTTCGAAGAGAAAATGAAGTACTTAAAGAACATGTCAATGTTCTTACAATTGAGTGAGATCGATACTTGGAAGAACTTCAAGAGGCGTCTAGTATTCTTTTAGGCATTGGGGTCGTTGCAGAACCTTTTGAGTACCTTAACACGCTGGCTAAAAAGGCACAATCACTTGTACATGTTGTAATGGGGTAAACTGAAGCTCTAGCCCCCGCTGATGAGACACTTACCAAGTTAGAGTCCGCTCTCAGTGAGGCAAATAAGGCACAAGATTCTTTCCGGAAGACGATCGAGTAGCTGAAGGAATCTTTGAGAGAGGCTCTGAAAGGTTAGAATAAGACTGAGGGGGACCTTATGGAGATGCGTCTTGAGAGTCATTCTTTAGCTAAGGAGTATGTGAAGGCTACGAAATACAATTACTCTGTCGGGCATGTGTCTTTCGAAAATGGACTATCGATGAAATATTTTATTCTACGGTGCATGTTTCGTGATAGCTAGTTTGCCCTAATAAGGAAATAGTGAACAATTTTTTTTTGGATATATGTAGAATTAGATTCATAGTCTTTCTCTTTAAACTTTATATTCTTGTTTGGCAATATGCATTTCAATTTCTTTTACTTATCATTATTTTACATATTTTACGACATTGGTTAAAGTCTCAAGTTCGTTTCTCTACGAGATAGTTTGTTTTTCACGGTTGTGCTCGAAATTCCCGTCATATTTCTTGGAATTGTGTCCTCCTTCTCTTAAATTTTTTTAATAACATTTATTCTTAATCGACCCAAATACCTCTCTATTGAATACTTTAACAATATGAAATTACAAAAAAGTTGTAAGTTAGGCTAAAATATTTTAATATTATACTACTAAAAAGAATTAGTTTAATCAATATTTAAAAAATTTGAAGATAAACTCTTGTAAAAAAAAAGAAATTTGAAGATAAAATCAACACGTTTTATTTTCCAATAATCAAATGTGTCGTATTTTTGCTTAAATATCATCAGTTTGGACCGCTATTTTATTTCACACATTTTGTTGGTGCAGAAAATTAGCCAACTCTTCCTTCATATTGCCCATCTGAATGAAGCCTTATCATCACGTCGTAGGGTTCATGTGTTTCGAATCAGAGGCTAATGATACTGCAGAGTTAATCAATGTTGTGAGATACAGATTCATTTTGAACTTTTTTTACAACGTATATATTATAATGTGTATATGAGTTTGGTACTTCATACTTGTATATTATAGCGTAAACAAAATCTCAATAAATAAATAAATAAATAAAGTAAAAGGATTTAAATAATTTTTATATTATTAGTTAGTCACAATTGGTTAGTTAAAGGTATTTGATTTTTATTATATTTTGTTTATTTATTTTATTGAAAAGAGGGTTAAAAGCCCGAAGGAAAAAACTACACAATAATTAGTTTAGGGATGACAAAACCCCATTCATCTGCATCCAGAATATACTTAAACTTTTTTGGATAGTTGGAGAAAAAAATGCACATATCATCTATAGTAAAATTATGTTTTTGTTAGAGCATCTGCTAATCTATTTGCTTCCGATATGAGTGATTGATCACCACTTCTCAGTCTATATCTAAAAATCTTCAAATCTCTTCAGTTAAGAATCTCTCGAGAGTAAAATATTAGTTGTGACATATTGACAATATAAAATATTTTATTTTATTTAAAAGTTAAGATGATTATTGATTGTGACGTATTGACAATATAAAATATTGTATGAGAGCATATAAATTAATCTTTACTTATATCTCTATTATATATTTACAAATTTGAAAGCAATATGAACATTTATAAAATAAATAAAAAAGAGCAGATCAATGAACATAGGTATCATCAAAGTGTATTTGTTAAAAGAATAGTGTGTGATAATGGTAGATTCTCCTTTGTGTGGGAGACAGTTTATTTGGTATCATGGGATGATAGAATCATGAGTCAATTGGATATATTCTTAGTATCTACAGAGTGATGTGATGCTTGGTCTAATTATATTCAGTGGACTCTGTCTAGAGGCTTATCTGATTATTGTCTTTTGGTGCTGAATATTGATGTCCATAAATAGGGTCTGAGGCCTCAGTGAATGTTGAAATGTTGGGCGGATTTACCAGGGTATCATGATTACATGATGGACCAGTGGAGGTTCTTTCAAGTGGATGGGTGGGGCAGATATGTGTTGAAGGAAAAATTGAGGTTAATAAAAGGGAGTCTGAAATTGCGGTATCAATAACATACTCAGAATTTAAAAGAGAAAATGGTAAAGTTAAAAGAGCAAATTGAGTTTCTTGATTTGAAAGGAGAATAAGGTAGTTTAGAAGAAGGTGAAATGGAGGAATTACATGAGTTGCCATCTGATTTAATGTCTTTATCTAAATTGAATTTGAGTATTTAGTGGCAGAAATCGAGGTTGAATTGGTTGAAAGAAGGCGATGCGAATTTAAATTGTTTTCATGGGTATATGGCCTCTAGAAGAAGGGTCAATGTGATTGTTTCTTTATCAGTGAATGGTGCCATTATGGAAGGTGTGAAGCCGATTAAGGATGTTATTTTTCAGCATTTTCAGAATCACTTTAAGGTGGTAGAAAGGAATCAACCTGAGATTGATAATTTATCGTTTAAAACTATTAGCAGGGGTGAATGGGCTGATCTGATTAAGCCTTTTTTGATGGAAGAGTTGAAAATGATAGTGTGGAATTGTGATAGTTACAAGAGTTCGGGGCCAGATGGTGTTAGTTTTGGATTTTTAAAAGAGTTTTGGGACACTTTGAAAGATGATATGTTGAGATTCATGGTGGAGTTTCATTAGAATGGTAAGCTCACTAAAGGTATTAATATCACGTTCATTACTTTGATACCTAAAGTTGCTAGTCCGCAGTGGGTCGTTGACTTTCGTCATATATCGCTAGTTGGACATTTGTACAAAGTTCTGGCTAAGGTCTTGGCTAATAGATTGAGGAAGGTGATTGGTGGTCTGATTTCGGAAACATAATTTACTTTTATTTTTGGTAGACAAATTCTTGATGGTATTCTAATAGCTAATGAGGAGGTGGATGAAGCTCGTAAAAGTAACAAAGAGTTAATGTTATTCAAAGTGGATTTTGAAAAGGCTTATGATTCGGTGGATTGGTGTTATTTGAAGAGAGTGATGGGTAGAATGCATTTTTCTACTTTGTGGGTGAAATGGATCAATGAATGTGTTTCGACGACTACAACTCCGATTTTAGTTAATGGAAGTCCTACTGATGAATTTAGTTTAGAGAGAGGTTTAAGTCATGGCGATCCGTTATCACATTTTCTCTTCCTAATACCGGTAGAGAGCTTTAATGTTTTGATGAATGTTATGATCCAGGAAGGTTTGTTTATAGGTTATAGTGTGGGAAATGGTGTAGGGGAACCTATTACTCATCTACAATTTATGGATGACACGCTTTTGATGGGAGTTAAGAGTTGGGCTAATGTTATGGATCTTAAAGTAGCATTGATGTTGTTTGAATCCATTTCGGGTTTAAAGGTGAACTTTAATATGAGTATGTTGGTGAGAATCAATATTACTAATTCTTGGTTGAAGGAGGTAGCTATGGTGTTACACTATAAATTGGGAGTGATTCCTTTTGTGTATTTGGGGTTGCCCATTGGTGGTAATCCAGGTAAGCTTGGTTTTTGGCAACCAGTTTTAGAAATCATTAGGAAAAGGTTATCTAGGTGGAAGTTTCATAATCTTTTGGTGGGTGGTCGCTTGATTTTGTTGAAATTTGTTCCGTCTGCTATCCTGTTTTATTTCCTATCCTTCTTCAAGGATCTCGCGAGTATAATCTCTTCTCTAGAATCTTTATGTATTGGTTTCTTTTGGGGAGGTACATAGGTGAAGAGAAAGGCATCTTAGTTTAATTGGGATATTGTGTGTCTGAGTAAGGTGAATGGTGGGTTAGGTGTGAGGAGGTTGAAGGAGTTTAATGAGGCTTTGTTGGGGAAATGGTGTTGGAGGATGATGGAGGAGAGGAGTAGTGTTTGGTATAGGGTGCTTTGTTCATAGGTATGGGGAGGTAGGGGCGGATGAGTTCTGGGTCATATGGGGGTATGTATGGTGGAAGATCGTGAACAAGATCCGTCTAGGGGTTGGGTTGAGTGTTCCTGGGTGTCTGAGTAATAATAATGAGTGTTATGTTGGAAATGGGGTAAATTCTTTATTCTGGAGGGACCCTTGGTTGGAGGGAGGAGTTTTTATGTCTAGATTATGCAGGATTTTTGAGCTATCGGAGCATAAGGAGGTTATTGTAACATATATGTTTGCTTTAGGGTGGGAGTGGATGGAGAAGTTTGGAGTTGGCGTAGGAGGCTGTTTGTGTGGGAGGAAGAGTTGATGGGGGAGTGTATTCAGTTGTTGGGTTCTGTTGTTTTGTAGGTTGCGGTTGAAGATTTGTGGGTGTGGCGTATTCACCCATCAAAGTGTTATAATGTGAGTAGTGTGTACAATTTGTAGACGAACTCAGAGGGTGATCAACGTCTTGGAGGCTCTAAGGTTTGGTGATCTAAAGCAGTGTCATTTAAGGTAAAATATTTTCTTTGGCGGTTGTACCATAATCGATTACCGATCAAGGTTAATTTAGTTAGGATGCATATTCTAGTAGCTGAAGAGTAGAGTTATCCTAATGGTTGTAATATGGATTAGAGTAGGGATCATATTTTTGTAGGTGTGTTTATTTTGGAAAAATTTGGCCGATGTTGTAACACCCTTCTAAAACCCCATGATTTTCACGAATATTTTTAATAAATAAATAATCGTAAAACAACAACAAGAATGTCACATCTTCATATAAGCATCGTTTCACAAACAATCCTTCTCCGTAACACGGGTTGCAAAGAGAACACTTAAATATAATCTCCAGCATCACAACTAATTCATTTCGAACTTCGCAGTGGAACTAATGAGTCTTAAACTCCTTCATAGCATAGTCTCAATACCATGAAAGATAGTTCAATGTTAAAAAAAATCATCACGGTTCATGTTAATAACATTGTAATCCAAAACATGGAAAAAGTCATGAAAGTAATACAAAATCTCAAGATAACAAAATAATGCATGGTTCACAACCAAATCAATCACAACCCCAATGTTACATATCAGAGCAAGACTCCTTTTATTCAATGAAAAGTAATAAACACACTTTGAAGTTATCCTCTAAGCTTTAATGAACTACTCCTAATCACCTGCAAGTTACCCACAGATAGAGGCAACATTTCTAAGCAGAAAGGGTGAGTAAATCATAATCATTATAAAATACATAAGGAATAAATATAGTAGACATGCACATAGGCAAGGCCTCACACCTCATCAGAACCTCATGTTATACTCACACCTTCACAACATCATCAATACATAACAACATATCATCCAAACACCATTTTATCAACAAGCATCATTTAATCACATCATTATGAAATATCACTTATAATGTAATGCAACATCATAGACTCATACATGTGGTAGTAAAACTTCATTGATGACTCAATCATCATTTTCTCCAAAGATCCATACCAATAGGATCAATTCTCTCTTGGAACCAGAGCACTTCACAATTTTGAACTCAATCTACACTATGAGATTGATGCCTTCACTGGACTATTGTCCTATCATCTTCACTGGATCGAAGTCTAACAACATCACTGGAACAAAGTCCTACATTATGCCATGAATGTATGATGTGGAACAACATAATAAATACGATCACGGCTATTCAAAATGCATCATCATTCATGAATTCATCACAACATAATTATATCATCATAGTAAACAAAGCATCATATTAACATCATCATAATAAATAAAGCATCATCGCACCATCATAATAAACAAGGCATCTTCATAGCATCATCATAATCCAACACGGGGAGCCTAACTTCATCCTAGCTTAGCTATTGGGAATATACTTCTTATTTCTCATTGTATTCCGTTTAACTAAACTTCATAGCGTTAGCTATCCAACTCATCGAACGGAACCTCAAATCGAGTTCTAAAACTCAAGTTACGACTCTTTTAAGAAAATCCATCTCAGTCATTCAATTCCGGACACCATCGCCCGATGGAACCCCTTCCATCGCCTGGCAACACACCTTTCGTGTATTACATTTCTCGGCGACACTTGGAGTGAAGCACTCCATTAACTTTCTTCTTTTTTTCTCTTCATCTCCCCTTGGCTCGCCCAACGACGGCTAAGCATGTCACAGTCACCCGACGACGATACTCCATCGCTCGACGATCCTGCACGAACAGGGTTTTCGTGTTACAATTTCCTAAATAAAAACCAGTATCAATTCTTGCGATTTTGCACCAAGACATTCCCAATACTCATATATTTCAACACCTAATCATCATGTAACAACTATACCATATTATAGGCATTATATTCACCAACTCTTGGCAATTCAATAAGGTATTTTCACCAATTCCAACACAAATTCATCAATTACAACACAATCATCAAATCACCAAAACCCAACACAAACTTACATCTATCTAGACCTTAAATCAATTATAATAATCAAGATAAAACTCCCTTTACCTTAGATTTCCTATCAGTAAACCTTTCTCTTCGTGTTCTACCAGAAACCCCTTTGTGTTCTTGTGCACTAACTCTCTTTCTCCACAATGTCTATTCTTCAAATATTTTCACAATCGATTCAAAAAGAAATATTATCCTTATTCCTTGTTTTAACCTTAGGATACCTAATAATGAACTTCCCATCATGCTCTCACTTAACTCTTCACTAATTCCCACTTTGCCCTTATTTTCTCTACACCACTCTTCATTCTATGTATTCAATTAATAATAATTGTAAACAATTAAAACTAATTATCTAAAGTTACTAAAATACTCTTTCATCTCTTAATTCATCACTAACCCATCAAATACCACACAAAACATTGTATTAACCATCTGTTTACAGTGATTTCTGGTAAACAACCGCTAGTCCTCCAAACTATCGAATAAACTTACTGACTGTTATTCAATTTCTCTGGTAACTCGCAGGATCGACTAGATTAATCCTAGGACGTGTTGGTCATTAGGGTAACTCTCATGATCGAACATGTATTCATGGTTGGTATTTAGAATATTGTGTAAGTGTTTGACTTATTTCGATTTCTCTCTTAAAGATCTAAAGGTGTAATCAAAATATATGTGTGCGAAACTAAATTGCATGAATAAAAGTTAATTGTAAAGACATGTAAAAACTGCATAAAAGACAGGTAAATGATTTCGAAACATAAAACAAAACAGTTAATGTGAAAGATTCGAAATATGAAGAAAGCGTTTAATGCAAGAAATCTGTAAAATGACTTTAAGTAAAAAGGTGTTCGAAGGATAAAAACTTGAAGATAAAGGCATGAAATGTATAACAGTTTCTGAAATGTAAAGTGTTTGAAATGGAAAGAAAGCATTTAAATATAAGGCATCAATGAAAAGATTTCGAATAAAAAGACTTTAGATGCAAAAAATTGTAAATGGTATTGATACAGAGACAAAGGAAAGTACTGGAAATGATAAAGGGTTTTCATTAAATCATAAACATGTGGTGCTATCATACGTACATTGCTCTTGCATTCGTTTCCCTAGCCATGTGGTAATTTGAATGTTTACTGAGTTTTTTGTACAAATAGATATGACACACGAAATCCTAATGCTAAGACTTCTATTTATACTACTTCGACCATAACGGTCTTGTTATGAGATTTTGCCACGTTCAGAACATGCAGAGCAATGCCTCTCTCTTGCTTCCACGTGTCTTCGAATGCTCCAGCGCATAAATTTCAAACTTCGAATATCCCGCTTGCATTTGAATTTCAAATGTTTTGGTACTTCTTCGCTTCGAACGCACTTCTTAGACACAACCTTGTTGTCATTTCGAGACTTCTTTGGATATATTCTCATAATTGCCACTCGAAGCTCCAAGCTTTGATATGCTCATTCGAAACACTGCTTCTGCTATTTCGAAACATGACGTTTTGTTTCATTTCGATCGAAACGTATAGTTTACTTTGCTTCTAATAACATTATCAAAATCTTCAGCCAACAAAATGCCCCTTTAAAATATGTATTTCGATCTCTCTTGAGAAATACTTATTTTAAACATATACGCAAGATTTTGATGCGACCTTCGAATCATCGTAACATTTAATGCATTTGACTTCAGTCACGTCAATCATAACACTTTTTAGATTCCTTAACCGCCTTGAACCATATCACAGTATGGTGCAGTTACAAAACAATGATTATCTTTAATCACGCCTATTACCAATGTTAACTTTACGCCACCTCTTCATCAAACCAACCCATGATTACCACGTATCACAACCTTACTCAGTGGATGCTTAAACTTCCACATTATAAAACCCATCAACTTAGTCTTTTTTTCTTTTCTTCCCACATTCTGAATCTTCTCTCCTTATTTTCTCACCGAAACCCTAAGCTTTCAACATTCTTCCAACAATGTCTTCTTCTACTTCATCCCAACTAAAAAAGGTTTCCAAGAAGAAAGGAAAGACCGCAGGAACTACAATGGAAAGTAAAGTGGTCACTCACCAAGGCCAATCTGATCTGGTTCCCCAGATGATCTCAAAGGAAAAAGAAATGCTTTATGCATCCCAGGTACTTATTCCTACCACCGCTGCTGGTAAGAGGTTAGCTTTAATGGGCCCTCTTACAGTTTTTGAATTTTTAAAAGACACCAGGAAGATTTTCCCAGTTTGCTATAATTTCAAACCCCTGTTTAACAAAATGGACGCCCCTAAGGCAATAGAATCTTCTGGTTTAAACACCGTAGAAAATCCAATCGTGCCTCCTAAGGACCCTTTTGTATTAGACTATGTAAAGAGTAATTTTAAACCGTTTCGATCTTGCCCCACCTCCGACACTGCTTATCAAAACTGGTTCAATAAGGTAGAAGCTAAGAAATCCCAACAATGGGAAGAATTAGGTATCTACAACTTGATTAAGCTGTCGAAGCCAGGTTTCACTTACAGCCACCCATTGTTATTCGCGTCCCTATATTTCTGGGACAGTACCTATAATACTTTCCATCTCCCTGGTGGAATGATCACCCCTACCTTCTTTGACATAACGGCCATCACTGGGCTATCACCAGTAGGAGAAACATATATCCCTGACAACGAAGAACATTCGAGTATAATCGACTTCGAAGTTAAACTAGCAAGTTTTTCCAAGTTTATCAGCCACTACCATGCTGAAGGAGACAGTGTGTCTGATGTAGAACACATTGCTTTCCTTACCCTATGGCTGTCAAGATATGTCTTCTGCAGTAGATCCCTACAGGTAGCCAGTAGGTTTATTCCTCTAGCTAGGGA